AACTGAACAAAATTATAAAACTCGTATCATAATATGCTATTTCCTCCTCCCAACATCGTAAGTCTACCAATTTATTGAACTACCTAAGTTGATTTTACGTTGAAGGCAATGATCACTATTGGTAACGGGTAAAAAAGAAACTACTTACGCTCCTAGAGGACAACAACCCTAATTCGTTTTATCCATATTTAATTTATATTAATAGTACAAATAGAACAATTAATAACATTATTGATTAAACAGGCGTGGATTTACACCTCCTAACTTAGTTCTGATATTTCTATATTTCACAAGAGTTGTCAGAAAACAAACATTGCTTCGTCCATTATTAGCTGCAATCGTAAATGCCCGGGATGTTCGATTTTTCGAATCACGAATATTGACTAGAATAAGTATCTCCTTATTTTCAATGTCTTCGAGTCTCATTTTGCACAGTTCATCGATGCGACATGCCCCGGCAACTCCTGTTATCATAACTACCTGAAATACATAAATTACCTTTCATATAAATGTAATGCTCTTACAATACCTTAAGAAGTAAACAGGATTCGTCGGGAGCCTATTCAAGAAACCTGTCCATCTCATTTCTATCAAAAACGTTGGATTTTTTTGGTTTCTAACCGTCATTTTTTCTCTTTAAAAAAGCACGCAATTTTGGATACTTTGAAATATCCGTCTTTTGGTTCAAAAACATTGTAGTTTTCAACATGCTGTATTCGCACCACAAGCTTCAAGGAGACTTTAGTGTTGTACTCTTCAAATAGAAGTATGCTAACATCAATGTTTCGGATAACATGGAATCATCTTTTACAAACACCAATCCTTAAATGACTTGTATGACAATTCGTACATTTTCTTCTATTTTTGAGGTAATAAAGACAAGCCCGCAACATGAGCTGCATCTTCAACACTCGAAAAACTCATTTTCGTCTATTTGCACTGTTTTGACTTTTGTTTGTAAAAAAACAAGACAATTTCAAATTACTTCCATGAGTTTGTCCTCTAGGGGTCATGACAGGTCGAGAAAATGCAAAAGTAGAGAGTCGGCCGAAGGACTCGCTTACAATACTTCCTTTGCTTACGCTCGGGAACTAAAAATTATCGACCAATATCTATCATTTGCAATTTTGCCAAAATCTTCGAAATTTTTTATTTATAAATCAATCTATTTCCATGTTGTTCATCAGTTGTCGCCAAATCAATGCAGTTTTGTGAAGGCAAAATCAACTGTTACAAATCTTTGGTCCTTCACTGCCTTTAATTTGTGTATGTTGGAAAATAGAATACAAGTTGACACAATTTATTGTGACTTTTCTAAAGCTTCTGACATGGTTCAACATTCGTTACTTTTACAAAAGTTACATCGCTTTGGATTACCTGATGGGTGTAGTACAAATTCTTCGTAGTTATCTGACAGGTCGTGAGAATTATGTGCAATATCAAGGGGATCCTATCCCGCTTATTTAAAAGTAAAAGTGGTGTTTTGCAGGGTTCAGTACTTGGTCCGTTGCTGTTCCTACTTTTGATTGATGCTATTATGAAACCTCCTTTCGGATTCCCTATTTTATGCAGACGATTCAAAGTTATATCATATCATAAAAACGTGTCAGACTGTGAGAGACTGCAGTCTGATCTGCAGCGCTTATTTCAATGGTGTATCCTCAACCGCCTCCAAATGAACAAAGACAAGTGCAAAGTGATGACCGGGGTAATGACCTATACTAGGAAAAAACCCAATTATCAATTATTATGCTATTGATGATCAAATTCTGAAGCGTTGTACTACATTCAAGGATCTAGGTATCACATTTGGCAACAAACTCACCTTTAATGCACAATTGCATCGCGTGATCAGAAATGCTTGTTGGCAATCTTGGATTTTTAGTTGAAATTGGTATCATGATGTTTTTACTTCCCGAGCGTAAGCAAAGCAAGTATTGTAATCGAGTCCGTCGGCCGACTCTCTACTTTTACGTTTTCTCGATCCTTCATGACCCCTAGAAGACGAAGAAATAGGTCTCCCATTTCCGTCTGTCCGTCTGTCCGTCTGTCTGTCCGTCTGTCCGTCTGTCCGTCTGTCTGCCGTCCCGGATTTTTATTAGACAGATAATCTCCGAAAGTACTGGACCGATTGTTGTGAAATTTTGTACTTATATTAGGAATGTCATGTAGATGGTAAAACGCTAACCAAAATTTGCCTAATCATCCCCACCACTAATGCGATGACGTCACTTCAAAATAGTCCTACACATGTAGTTTACGACTCCGAATTGAGTTTTTACCCGAAACGTCCAGATTTTTGGAAAAAAAAAGCAAAATTATAAAACAACATTTTGCAATTTAATTTTGAATCTGCTAACCCGAATGTTCTGAAATGTTGCAGATGCTTTAAGGCTACAAAGAGCATCATAAATCTTTAGTCAAAATATATTTGGTTATCCCCTCCAAAAACTTGATGACGTCAGCTCAAAAGTTTGCCGAATAAATCCTATCTAAAATGTACAAAATATGATGAGTCTGTACTTGTAATTTATCATTCCATTCATATTTTTTGAATTTGCATATACCGGGTGACTCAAAAAAAATAATGAATGCCTAAAATTTATTTTATTGGTTTACTCAGGAACTACAAAACCGAATGCTTTGAAATCTACTACGAAAAAAAAACATAACAGACATGCAGTCGTCACGTTTCCGACAGCGAGGGAAGTACTGTCTAAACTCTTTAGACCAATTTTTTATAATTTCCGGTTGTCAGCTGTCAAGATAGACAGATTGTTGACATTTTTAATTTGCAAAATGTATCGAAAACGTAACCTAAATTTATCGCATGTCTGCCACACAATTACTTCCGTTATGGCAACATAAACGCAAAAAAATTCACATTTTTGTTTAAAAAGTACTACCAATAGACTCAGTCATTTCTGATTACGCGGAATAACAACACTTTGCAATTTAATTTTGCATCTGCAAAACCAAATGCTTTAGGATCTTGCAGAGCTTAAAAACTATCGTAAGCATGGTAAATTTTTAATGGAAATATATGTTTATCCCCCATAAAAAAATTCTTACGTCAACTTCAAATTTTGCCGAATAAATCCTATCAAAAGTACGGAAATTAAGATGACTTTATATTTGCGATTTATATTCTTTACAAATGCTTTGACAAAAAAATTAATGAACGGGTCAATTTATTTTATTGATTAAATCAAGAACTGCTCACTCCTTTTTCTCAAAAATTTGGGAATACAATAGAGTGCACCTATCAAAACTCGTCGGCACCAAAGTTAGGAAGGCCCATTTAAAAATATAAATAATAATAATACATAATGTATTTATTGTCTAACAGAACATAATTCCTCTTATAAGACAACCAACCAAATATAAATAAATATATATATAAATTAAATTTGAAACATACTCGTAGCGCGCCTCTTTATATTTACTTTAACATTACATACCTAGATATCTTTATTTTAATTTATAGGGGCTCAAAAATAAAATAAAATTCACAAAATCAAATTTTATCATTTTTCGAAAAACAAAAAAACAATAGGTTTTATTGTACTTCAACTGTCCAACTAACCTTCGGACAATTTTTAATTCCCGAGCGTAAGCTAAGGAAGTATTGCAATGAGTCAGTTCATCAGGCGACTCGTTACTCTCATATTTTCTCGATGGGTCATGAGCCCTAGAGTAGGAAAAAATAGGTCCTCGTTTCCGTCTGTCCGTCGGTATGTCTATCCGCCAGGAATGAATTTGTGAAAATTATTTGAATTGTCAAACAAAACATTAAACCCTGAAATTTTTTCAATTTGGAAGTAAATGTCAACCTAGTTGTTGTTTAATACAATGTGTTAAAAATTTTGATTATCATAATGTCACTTGTACAAGTGAGTGTTCATATCCAAATTATATATGTCACTTTTGTCACTCTGTTTTGACTTTTAAATGCAGTGGCTAAAGCATCCAAATTTTGACAAATCAAGTGAAGGCTATTAGTGCGAATCCAATTTATCGGTAAGTTTTTTCTGCGACTTTAACTATTCGTAGTTTCTGGAAAATTATACAGCATACAGAAATACAAAACATGGCAAATCAAAAACTATTATTATTACTATTGTATTTCATACATATTTTAAGATAAGTAAGGTTTTAAATACATTTTTTCACTTTTTATTGTACCATTCGATAATGTTAGACCTTAGATGCAGGAAGATCAGGCCAAATCAACCTACAAATGTGGAAACATATTTGCGAATAAAAACTATATATATAAAACTTTAGGTTTAACATAATTATTTACATGAATTTTTTTTTATTTTTACGAAAACACTGTTAACGAAATTCGGATTGCCAGTTTAGCTTCATTAAAAAAGAATTTGGTAATTAAACTCTAAATATTACCTATGTAATTGTGATCTGGTGGAAATTATTTTCATGACCTAATTTAAAAAAAATATATATAGAATTCATTTTCCGCCAACACGAACTCCAAACACAAGTGCGTTCTTTTGACAACAATCTAACCTACAAACATGCGTAATAAATTATGTACATTAACATTCCACATTGAACCCCCTCTTCCAGTTTCACATTTAAATGACTTTTGAAACATAATTACTGTGTGTGATAAGCAAAATATTCCTCAAACTAACCTCCTCTTAACAGATTAACACTAAATGAAAATATTTAGATACCGTCCATTGTTCACTTTGCTTATTATTATCCAAATGACCAAAAGTCTAAGCAACGAAATGTATTACCACCATCACTTTTCCCCCATTTGTTCGAAATTCATACTTTTTTCTAACGATCGAAACAAAAATCAAAAAACAGCACTTAACTCACTAATTATGCATACAGAGGAAAAATGACGGCAAAGAGAATTGTGATAATATGGTTTTGCGGCGCCAACTCTACTATATTAACATAATAATCGTTTTGTTTTAGTGGGGCCAGTCTGACTGTGGAGCAACCAGTATTACAATTTTACTAACCTTAAAAAAATTTTCGTTGCAGGTGGCAGTCCATAATTTCACAAGTCACTTTGAGATGCACCAACACTTTTGAAGCAATTAAAATGTTGTAAACACACTCGTAACACTTCACGACGTTATGATTTCGAGCAAACGATAAAAGTCCGGCATTAATGGGGTTATAAAATATTTAGAAAATCCGATTTTACAAAACATTGTTCAAGACAACGCGACGCGTATGCAACGTGCAAAGCCCACACTTTCGAACCGACGGCCTGCCGTACACTGCAGCAGGATTTACACGGAAAGCCGGGCGTCCCCTCCAGTTGGTTTGTTCGCGTTAGAACAAGGACTAGTTCCAATTTGAGCTTTAATTACATATGGAGTCGGTTTAGGTCAAGCATATTTTTTACGTTATTGACTGATTGTTATAAATTTGGTGTTAGTTGCGAAAAATTGTTAGACGATTTTATTTTTATTTTCATTAGTAGTTGCACAAGTTTCAGTAGCATTTCTTGGCCTTACCCCAGAAGTTCAGTTTACCCTGAAATAACAAATAACTAGTATAGCTTTGCTTTTTCATGATGTAATAGGCTCCGGGCATAAATTTGAATTTGGGCCCCTTAGCGGTCAATTCATAACTATTGGTGTGACACAGTTATACACGTGCTTCTGAGTCGTTTGCGCGCTTTTTCGTTGTTGTACGTACTTTTTCCCTTGTGTGCCTCAGAAAAAAAGCAGAAAATGAAAATTGTAGTTCACCCCGGCTTTAAAAACATCGTTTTCGAACACCGGACAGAAGCTGCGAAACGGAAAGGCAAGTTATTAGTAGAAGCTGGTCACGTTTTTAAAGTTGTAGAGAAAAAATTAGGAGAAGGTATTTCTTATGTATCTGCTTCTGTCGCTAGACAGGCAAATAGTAATTTACACAACTAGTTCGGGATAGCCTGCGTCCCGCATGAACGCTTGTTTGCGGCACGACCGAAGGGAGTGACGCATTTGTGTGAATGCGGGAAGAAGGCTCACGAACGTGTTGTGTATAATATTTTTTGCAACGAATAAACCTTTAAACTGAAGAGATTAACTGTGAGTTATTTATAAATAACGGCATTGACAGCGCCGTCACCACGTCACAATGTTGACACTACCCGAGTATTTTAAGGTTACCATGGCAACGGAAAGTCAAAATGCACGTGTTCGGGAAGTTCGAACTCCTGCACCCTGGTGAATGCGCGAAAGCCATCAAAAAAGGTCATGAGTGCAAAAAGTGAATTTGGAGCCTTATTTAGTCGAGTTACAGGTACGTAATGGACAATTTTAACCAGTGTTTAATTTATTTATTATAGCTTAATAAGAATCGACAGGTTGTGGAAGCGAGTTGTAGTTGTGTAGCTGGCATTGCTGGTTTATCTTATACTATTAAACGAGCAAAGTTTGTATATATGTTACAGTCAAAGCGTACATTTCAGCGAATGTATACACTGACTAGTCAATTTGACGTACGGTTTTAGCCAAAGTATTCACTGCGCATGGAAATGGATACTTTTACTAGTAAATGTATACATTCACTAGACAGTGTATGCATTTACTGCAGTCTGTTAGTCAAAGCTTCAATAAAAAGAAATACTTAAATATCACAATTGAGGAGCTCAGAGAAGAAGTAGTACAAGTGACATTTTTTTTTTAAATTAGTTAAGTGCTGAACAGTATATTCACTAATGCTTATGGAGAAATAGAAATAACATAAAAAGTTAAACTTTCTATGTTGTTCTCTAAACCTGTACACATAAGATAGGATAAATGAAAAAACTTCCAGGAATTACTCCCACATGTAGCTAGTTTTTTTTAAGTTTGCAGATGATAATAAATTAATAAAAGAAAGGGTTAGCATGTCGAAATCGATAACGAAGAAGATAACAAACTTTGTTTTTATTGCAGTTTTATCCATTGTAGATAATATTAAACTAACACTTAATATGTACTACACACCACACAAAAACAATAAATCACAAATACCGCTAAAACATCAGTAGGTACAATGTGAGGTTATGTCACCATGTATTATTTGGTGCATACTTTGACTAAGCGGGAACCGTTAATGTATACATTGAAAGTTAAAGCTTACACATCGTCCATTGTGAACACATTTACTGAGCAAATCAGTCAATGCATACATTGGCTAGTCAGTGTATACATTGACGGAATGAACACTTTGACTGTAACATATATATACATATATGTTCATAAAGTGGGCTTTTCCGCACATTTTTCGAGTAAATTTCAGTCAGTTTGGCATATTTTGTGCACTTTCGCACTGGTGCCAAACTACCACCGCACCCGGTCGGCAGTTCGGCACGAGATTTGGCAACATGGTAAAGGATCGACAAACATGCAACAGAAAATCATTAATTGAAAGCAGAATTTCTTCTTTCCACAGGTAGATGGCAGTATGAGAATATTTATCATAAGCAAAATCGGAAAATAGTGAATAATGCCGAAGTTCGGCGTGCGTAAGTGTTTGACTTCCACCACTAGTCCTCAGTCCAGGTACAATTTATATTGCAGAAATACTTTGTTTTGAGAAATGTGAAAATTTGAACCAAATACTGCGCAGTACTACGTGTAGAATGCTCAAAATTTTCTTACGTATAACGCAAGGCCTTTTGTTGTAGAAAACCAGTTCTTTTTTGAATCTATAATTTTTTGGAAAAAAAATGCGAAACTGCCTGTTGAATTCGTGTTAGCGTACGAACATTCTGAGCATGTTACACTTAGTATTAGTATTAGGTATTTGCTTCATTTTATCAACAACATGGAATGTCTGCAGTATAGATTGCATCTGGGCAAGATAAGTGGTTTTTAATATTTCAACAGACCAATTCAAGCAGTAATTCAAATTTTTAACAAACAATTCTAGTACTGGGAACCAAAGGCATTATTAACTGTTTAAATTTTCGTATGTTGGTGACTGACAGCTATTTTCTTGTGTGCCAAACTGCCTGGTGCATGTGTACGGTACGCAATTAACAGGCAGTTTCGCATGATTTTTATTTTTTTCTAAAATATTTCATCGTTAAAAAAAGGTATTTTTAACAACAAAAGACTTTATATTACGCGTAAGAATATTCTGAGCAAGCTAAGTGTAAGTATTATGCAGTATATGTTTTGTTATTTAAAAAAAAGTATATTTCTACATTATGAATTGTGTCTGGACATGTTAAGTGGGTGCTGATGTCCTAACAGACCTACTCAGTCGGAAATTCACATCATTAGCAAACAGAAGTGGTTAAGGAAGTAAAAACAAAATTAAGTTTCACTACTTTCGCATTTAGCTTAAGTTGCCATGGATTTACGTTTTTATTGGACAAACTAATTAGAGGTTTTTAATGGTGTAATGGTCCAATTCAAGCGAAAACTTAAAATTTCAGCAAAAGTGATATACTTAGAAATTAAAAACGTCATTAATTGTCAAAATTTTCTCATTTTGCTGACTATGACATTTTATAAATTTTAGCGTGTGTGTCAAACTGTTGCTGCTTGCGTACAGTACGCATAATGCAGTACTTACTTAATTTTTTCGAAAACAAGCAACTTCTGCAGTAAATAATGTATCTGAACGTAATAATCGGTTTATTAATGCTTCAAAAGCCTAATACAAACTGCAATTTACATCTTAAACAAACAGGAGATACTAGGGAAGTAAGGGTGTAATTAATTGTAATAATTTTCGTATTTTGATGACCTTGACAGGTATCTTTGGTGCCAAACTGCCTGTTGCATGCATACGGTACGCATTTAACAGGCAGTTTCGCATGATTTTTATTTTTTCCTAAAATATTTCATCTCTAAAAAAAGGGATTTTTAACAACAAAAGACTTTATATTACGCGTAAGAATATTCTGAGCAAGCTAAGTGTAAGTATTATGCAGTATATGTTTTGTTATTTAAAAAAAAGTATATTTCTACATTATGAATTGTGTCTGGACATGTTAAGTGGGTGCTGATGTCCTAACAGACCTACTCAGTCGGAAATTCACATCATTAGCAAACAGAAGTGGTTAAGGAAGTAAAAACAAAATTAAGTTTCACTACTTTCGCATTTAGCTTAAGTTGCCATGGATTTACGTTTTTATTGGACAAACTAATTAGAGGTTTTTAATGGTGTAATGGTCCAATTCAAGCGAAAACTTAAAATTTCAGCAAAAGTGATATACTTAGAAATTCAAAACATCATTAATTGTCAAAATTTTCTCATTTTGCTGACTATGACATTTTATAAATTTTAGCGTGTGTGTCAAACTGTTGCTGCTTGCGTACAGTACGCATAATGCAGTACTTACTTAATTTTTTCGAAAACAAGCAACTTCTGCAGTAAATAATGTATCTGAACGTAATAATCGGTTTATTAATGTTTCAAAAGCCTAATACAAACTGCAATTTACATCTTAAACAAACAGGAGATACTAGGGAAGTAAGGGTGTAATTAATTGTAATAATTTTCGTATTTTGATGACCTTGACAGGTATCTTTGGTGCCAAACTGCCTGTTGCATGCATACGGTACGCATTTAACAGGCAGTTTCGCATGATTTTTATTTTTTCCTAAAATATTTCATCTCTAAAAAAAGGGATTTTTAACAACAAAAGACTTTATATTACGCGTAAGAATATTCTGAGCAAGCTAAGTGTAAGTATTATGCAGTATATGTTTTGTTATTTAAAAAAAAGTATATTTCTACATTATGAATTGTGTCTGGACATGTTAAGTGGGTGCTGATGTCCTAACAGACCTACTCAGTCGGAAATTCACATCATTAGCAAACAGAAGTGGTTAAGGAAGTAAAAACAAAATTAAGTTTCACCACTTTCGCATTTAGCTTAAGTCGCCATGGATTTACGTTTTTATTGGACAAACTAATTAGAGGTTTTTAATGGTGTAATGGTCCAATTCAAGCGAAAACTTAAAATTTCAGCAAAAGTGATATACTTAGAAATTAAAAACATCATTAATTGTCAAAATTTTCTCATTTTGCTGACTATGACATTTTATAAATTTTAGCGTGTGTGTCAAACTGTTGCTGCTTGCGTACAGTACGCATAATGCAGTACTTACTTAATTTTTTCGAAAACAAGCAACTTCTGCAGTAAATAATGTATCTGAACGTAATAATCGGTTTATTAATGTTTCAAAAGCCTAATACAAACTGCAATTTATATCTTAAACAAACAGGAGATACTAGGGAAGTAAGGGTGTAATTAATTGTAATAA